TGCCCTGGGTCTAGAAAGACGTTAGACAGTCTATTAAGCGCTTGGTCAGCGCCCTAAAATTTTTCCACACGGGATAATCTTTCAAAAATATTTCACTTAAAAATTTGTAAAATATTGTTTTTCTTATTTCACGAATATTTAAAATTAAGATTTCAGTCATTTTTCTTTCTTATATTTTCTGAACATTTCACTGAAATATTCATACAACCAAATACTGCAATATTTCTTTTAGACGGACATTTCACTGTTTCATCAACATGTTATGAACCTTTTATTGAATAATTTCAATATTTTAACGAAATATTCAGGACATATTCAGGAAATTTAACGTGCTGTGTGGGAGCTTGAGATGTTAGCGTTCGCGCAGTTTCCGCCGGTAGTGTACATTCGAAATTTGGTATTTTTACTGAAAGATGCAGAGTTGTTGATTTCCAAAATAATATTCTGTTATTACTTCCTCATAGAGGAAGTATTGTAATACCAAAATTTTTCGAGATCGATTTTTTGACATATCTTTATGATATTTATTTGTTTATACTTGTCTATACAAGTGTTTTACAACCGTAGAAATTTTTCCTTACAAACATTATTGGTTCTAAAACGTCCGCCAAGCGAGGCATCTATCCGACCGAGCTAATCTGTCGGTTAACATATCTTTATGTTATTTGACCTCAGGAGTTCAAAAATGACATTTTTGAAAAATGTCTTTCCGTATGTGTATGTGTAAACATCACATTTTCATAAATATCTCGAAATCATGAAGAGCTTTTGGGATAAATTTTTTTTTAAATTGTAGATCTCACCTGAGGACACAAAATGAGAATACTTTGAGATAGATTAATAAAGTTTAACTAAACTTTTTTTGGGATTTTTAATTTTGCAAAAAAACGTTTTTTGCCCATAACTTTAAAAAAATGTTAGGACACCTATAAATGTTTTTCCATAATTTTGTACAGTTTTTTTAGACGCATCTTTTGAGCCCCAATTGGACATTTTTAGTCCATATTAACCGGAGATATTAAACTTTTAAAAATCAAAATTTTGGAAAATAACACTTTTTTAAAAATTTTGTTGAAAAATGTAGAAGTAACTTTAAAATTATCATTACCAACTTGTAGAGTATTAAAAACGCTTCGATTGACCTATTTTTGAAACTAATTCGATAATAAATTTCAAAATTATTGGTATTTTAAAAACCAAAAATTGTGGAAAATGACATTTTCTCAAAATTTTTGTTTAACTATTAAACTATTAAAACTATCTTGTAGTATTGTATCAATCCATTGATTGACCCAAGATTCAATCACTTTTACCATATTTATAAAAAGTTATTCATATATTTTTATTATTATTATATCTATGAGGAAGCAAAGTGTATGAAATGAGCACCAAAATTATAAAAAAAATATACAACTTGGGAGCGGTTTTTACTTTTCAATACGATTTACTAGCTTCAGTTTTTAATATGATGTACTTAGGTCTGTTTCCAAATGAATAATGTTTGACTTTATTTTACTTAATGATGTTTTGAGGTTGGTTTCCAAATTCGTATTCTCTGGTTGAACGATTTTTATTCCCTTTCCTTTTTTTATTACTTTTCTAACATTGCGTAGGGGTTGACTTTGATGCACTATCTGACATGTTCCATGATAGTTTTTAGTGTTTAACAGTAACTCAGGTGACCTTTGATATCCGAAGGTTTCGTATTCCTTGCATAAAAAACTGTTTTTCTCTTGCATGTGTATCCTCTTTTATTATTCGCCTAATTGATGTATAATCCTTATCACATTCGCTTTTTTACATTTTATTCAAATATTGTCTTTTTTTCTTGGCAATGATATGCATTTTTGAAAAGAGAAAAATATGTGGACGAATAGGGGAGAGTGGGTCAAGACGGGGTACTTAAGGTTTAAAGTGCAAAAAAACGAAAATTATCGAATATATACTTTATTATTATTTTTAATTATCATCTTTGGGAATCAGTCTTTCGTAAAAAAGGCGTACAAAGGCCATCTGTTTCTTAAAAAAGCTTATAATTAATAATATTGAAAAAATTGCAAATCTCCCCATCTTGCCCCACCGGCGGGTAAGATGGGGTACCCGTAGGGGTAAGATGGGGTACTAAAAAAACAACCTATTTCTGTCGACAAATTTTACAAGTAAAGGTTGCACCTTCATCTTCATGCATAACTGCAGTGAGCCCATTGGCCGCAGACAACAAAAGCAGGCCAGCCTTCATTTGAGTCTAAATAATAATTATTACAATAGAGACAAGGTGTATTTTCCACTTTACCATCGCTAATTGATGATTTAACCTGACAAGCTTTTTTCTTTTTGGTCACTCTTATTTTATTCAGTCTTGATTTTAGTAGTTTTCTTAACTTCTCTTATTTCTTTTTTTTTTGCTTAATTTGTGAACCCCGTCCTGCCCCACTCTCCCCTACCCCATCTTGCCCGCACCTACGAAATTGAATAAAACGATTAATTACTACAATTTACGATTCAACAAAGAAAAAAAACATATGCTTCTCTTCTTCTGCAACCCTTGACAGTTAGAAAAAAATTTATACAGTTCATTAACTGTTATTATTAAATAATAAACGCCTCCTAAAAAAAGTGAAAAAATGACAAGAAAATCGTCGAAAACAGTCTTTTTAGTAAAACAGATAAAAGATTTGTTCTCATGGCTTTCAGGTTTTGTAAACAAGAAACTATCGTCTCGGTGCAGTATTATGTAAAATATAATCGCGATTGGTTAATTCGTTTGTTAAATAAGGCCGGTACCCCGTCTTGCCCCACTCTTCCCTATAATAGAATATACGATTTTACATGGTACATCACAGAAAATATGACTAAATAGAATATCCATTTAACGTAATACTTTCGAGGACTAAGACACTTTCAATATACAAATTAAAAACAAAGTTCATTCTCCACCTTTTTTTCGATGGAATGCTCCACATGTGGCAATGAACGAAATAAAAAAATCAATCCAGCAGACAATATTTCCAATCACAGATTATTCTATAAAATTTAACTACTATTCAGGAATATAAGTTGTGATTATTATCTTTTATGACTATGATTATTATTTTGCACTAGACCAAAAGTTCCCAACGGGGTCAATGCAGAAACAAAGCAGGTAATGGGCCCCAGTCAACTAATTTTCCTTACTGATAGATTTTATGTTTTTACCCTTCTGGATGAAAATTTATAAATAGTGATTAACTCACTTAATGATATAAGTTTGTTTAATAATGTTTAACACCCTGCTTCGAGACTTTATTGAATAATAATTTTAGATTATACTTGTTGATCGAAAATTTATACCGGTCGAACTACTACAAACTAAACAAATTCTCGCATGTCCTTTTAAATTCAGGCGTCTATGTACAATAATATCCGATATAATTTTTCTTGATTTTATAGTAATTCTTATTGTATTGTATTGTGACTTAATTAACTGCAGTGAAATATGTGATGAAATAAAATTATAAAGTACATCAAATGTACAAGTTTTTATAATTGCATTAAATTTAGTTTAATGGGAAAACTAATTGGAATTTTTGTGTTTATTCAAAGAATGTTTGATAATTTGAAAACTAAAGTTTTAACAAGAAATATTCTGCACAAATAAGGCACATTAACTAATAGAATCAAGATATTAATATTAAAAAGAAGGAACAGCATTTCTTAGTCAAATTAATTTCAACGAAGAACGCATTTCGTTTTAAACTAATTAAAACACCTTTATCAAGTGCTTTTAGTTGAATTTATCAATTTGAAGCGACACTCAGCGAATGATAAATTAAAAGTGTAAAAAATGATGTGTCAAAATGTGATTTATTATTGCAGATTCGTGATAGCAATAAATAATGATCTGAAATGTTTCAACATACGTGTTATAAGGAATAAATTGGAGTTACGTGTTATGATAATTGATTCTATATGCTATTACCACCAAATAAAGTAAAGTTATGTATTCTAGGCATTGTACAATTCTTTAAAATTGTTTCGTTTGATAAATATTGGTATTATATTTATAATTATATTCCTCAGATTATACTGGAATGAAGAATAACATTTATTTCCTTTTCTATTCAATGCTTTTATACAGATAATTAATTTTCATTAATAAATTTTTCTGAATGGAAGAAGACTGTTGGCTAGTAGGTTTTCATCTTTACATATATATAATAATTAACTTTGATTTTAATTAGCATTTAATTTGATATCATTTTCAATAATACGAAAGCAGCTTTGGAAGGATTGCTAAATATAATGAGCTAGATTTTATCAGAGGCGATTTATTTTACGAACTACAAATTTCAATATTGGCTTGAATTTTATGGAAAATAATTTACATTTTCTATTCATGTTCATTTATTACGTACAGCTGTTTTGTAATTTTTAAATTCTCCCTCATCTTTCTTTTGTTACGTAACATTTGTTGATGGGATAATTTTAATTAAACGCGGAATTATTTTATTTACTTTACAATGCTTGATTTTTTATTTTAATTAATATTTTCCATTTCGATTATTAAGAACAATAGCAAAATTTTAATTTTTAATTTAAATCAACGTTTAGAGAAAGAAATATAAGGGTATATTAGCAGGAAAAATTTGAATAAATTTTTCAAATGTTATAATAACACTTTAAAAAATGAAAAATTCTTAAAGAGATTTTGTTTTTATCGAGAGTTAACATGCGGAAATATGTAAATGTTGGAACATTTGCATTCTTTTTCTATTTTACGTTTCCCTGATGATCAATTTTTTTCCAATTCCGATTTTAAAAAGCCATTTGGGAAAGCGGAAACGACTGGTTCATACAGATTCGAGGTTTTATGATGGCAATGGCTACGTATATCTAGGCGCCTATTCTGCTCTATTCGTGGAGTACTGTCATGTAGAATATTTGCGATCGTCGTGATATCTATCTAGTATAACATTTGAATTGGGTGGACGGACGATGTTGCAATGTTGGTATTGTTTCAGTGCCTCCGGATATCCTGGATTATCCCACAAGCACGGATATGGTTGTACGAGAAAATAGCAACGTGACGCTTCGATGTGCTGCCAAAGGAATCCCTGAACCAACTGTCACGTGGCGCCGTGAAACAGGTGGTACCATCACTTTGTCCAACTCACAAGAAGGTAAAATTAATTTATGTATTATACATATTTATCAGTATTGTTCTTATAATTATTGTAAACATTTAACTTGAATAAGTAACCAAATTTAATTTTGATGTATCTGTTCCTTGAAGGGCTTATTAGCCCTAGGAACTTTGTTATTCTTAAATAAATAAATAAATAAATATTTAATTAAAAAAAATATTATATTTTTATTACAGTAGCTCGATAGAACAGTCAAGCACTTGATCATTTTGTTTTATTTATTTATTATACTTGTCTGTGAAACGAACAGTGACTATAAGGGAGCCACGCAAAAATATTAAAGAAAAAGAAAATGACGACGATTTGTATTTATCTGTATGACAGAAATGTATTTTATTTTTCTTTAATATTTTTTTTGTAGTTTTATTTTTAGAGTAATATATTTCAAAAACTACGCAGATTATTTATAAATAATCATTTAATTGAGGGGCCGGATGTAGCTACTGCCGCTACGCGTTGTCGCAAGGGATAATACAAGTCAGGTATAATGTAGTGAGAGGCCCAAAGGCGCTCACTGCTTACTGACTGGTATAATCCTTTTCGACAGCGCGTAGGGGCAGTTGTTATATCCGGACCCACAATTTACAATACTAAATAAATAATATTATTTAAAAGCAAATAACCTTAAATTATTAAACAGAAAAAAATTAGTTTTCTTGTGAGGTTCTCGTAGGATCCTCGCGATATTTCCTTGTAAGACATTTCTGACAAGATCCGAGCGTCACAGAAAATCCCGGGGCCCAACCAATTCCCTACATTTACATTTTTTCTTACTAGACTCAGATAGGTAAAAGGGGAATTTTACAAGGCCCCTATGAGAATCCTACTGCAATTTCTACATCGGAATGAGTAAAAGATGTAACTCTGGAATTGAGCATGATGCTAAAATTGATAAAAACACAGTTGTATTGATTCAATTAATTAAAAATATGAATGATGTACTTGTTCCTTCGAAGAAAAAAAATGTAATTGCTACGCCGTTGATATAAGAGGAAGAACATTTATTTTATTAAAATTTAAATTTAATCTTATATTATATTTAACGTAATATTCAAATATGTCGATAAAATATTCTAGATAATAGTTTTTATTATTTTTTTATCTAACAGACATTGATAATTATTCATATTTATATTTTCTTTTAATTCTAAATCATTTACTTGTGCCAAATACAATGGTTTGTTCTTGAACTTTTATTTTCCCTTTGGAATCAATACCCAAACACAATGGAAGTATTTCATCCAATAAGTCCTTCCTTAATAAACGGATTTATATTTAACGAATAAAAAGATCCGCAAGTTAAGTTTATTGCCCTTATGTGCTCATTATTTGATTTTAAATTCCATCGTATTTGCTATTTTCATTCGATATTTATATTTTATACACGTAAGAATTATTAATGAACCTATTTTTGTTCTTAATTAAGATCACACACGTATATTTACATATTCCGAAAGTATTCGTTTTTAAGATTTGTTATCTAACAATGTCATTTCAAGTAACTATTAAATTTTTCAATACATTTTAGTGAAATAAAAATTAGTATTGTCTAACTTAAATAAGAAATTAATATTAGTTGTGTTTTCTTTATTTATGGATACTTCCTTCTTTTTCTTCTAATTATGTTTAAGACATTATCTCCTCTGGACTGACAAAATCTTGTAATGAGTGTGAGCAGTCGTATATCACAGTCACACTATTAATTTTGTTAATCTTGTAGTTATCGAAAAGTTGCCTCTAGATACAAGATTCTATATGTCATCTTAGCTATCCACCTAATTTTAAAAGAGAGTTCACAGGATCTTTTATCACAGGTTCTTCCTGGGTAGAAGTTAATGTTAAACTGCACTGTACCATCCAGATTGTCTATAATGGGAAAGCCTCTCTTGTGGTATCTAATCTTTAAACAATTACCAGTGATATTATCAGATATTAAGCTCCCTCATAATCCTTACAGTTAGAGTATTTTCTTTGAATTTTTAGAATTAATTTATTAATTTTTTTAGATGGGCATTAGTGAAAATATCCGCCATCAGGACAAGGTCTGTCAAGAATTGTCATGCTTTCTAGAAGTGGACATCCATATGCAGGATAGTTTTTTAATTACTAAATAGTAAAATATAATTATTAAAATATTATTGTGTATCAAAACTATTTGAGATTTGATAAAGTTTAAAAAGGAAAAAATAAGTTAGATTAAGCGTTTCGGTATTTTTTGTATTTAATTGAAATGTTCGCAAAAACTATTTGATAATAAATATTAAAATGCATTCGAGTTAACCCTTTACCTGTCCAGTTGACGTTATCGACAAGAAACGACAATTCAATAGCAGAGTGGGGACAGTGGGAATTAAATTTAAAGACGCTAGAGTGGGAATAAGTCAGTACAGACAGAGGGTTACGATATATTATTGATAGTGCGATGCATACAATGACTTCCAAAACGATGGGAAAAATAAATATCACAATTCTTGTATAAAATATAAAAACATAATTTTACTGTTTACATATTCGACTCTTAGTTCTGTCCACTTTTGCCGGTAATTGTACACATTTACCAAGTCGGTTTGGTAAAAGTTAGAAATCAATTTTTTTGGAAATATTTTTGTTTAACTAGTTTTTATATTTTAAATAGTATTTTAGTATGCGTTTACGACTATTTTACTGATTTATTTAATTGTTTATTAATTAGTAATTGGGATTTGTTAATGAAATTGAAAATTAATTCAAATACTTAATAGGGGCATAAGTAAATACCAGATAGATTTCCATATTTAAACAAAAAGGGCATTCCAGTCAGAGCCTGATTGAAATATTTAATAGGGGCATGAATAGACCCAGTTAGATTTCCCTATTTGGAAAAACAAGGTATTCTAGTCAGTGCCCCATTATCACCTATCTAGACATTACTAGTGTGGTTGGCCTCACTAATTTCTCATTAGTGCCTTTCTTCAAATAAGGCGAAGTCGGGCAGGGAAGGTTTTACATTTTTCATTGGTCAAACCAATTATTGAATTTGCCTCACTAATTTTGTCACTTTACCAGGACTATCTCATAACTGAATTGGAGAGAATACAGAATAAATTTATGCGTTTTGTTGCAAGACAGGTAGGGATATCGTTTGATAAATATAGTCATGACTTACTGACTAGAGACGCATTTTGGGTATTCCACTTTCAAGCAATAGATTCTTATTCTCAGACTTACTTTTTTTGTACAAAACAGTTAACGGTATTATAAAAATTGCTCACCTCTATTATCTTTGTCAAATTTTACTGTTCCATTTAAACCTTCCAGAAATCCGACTCTACTCAAACAGTCAATACATAGAACTAATCACATGTTAAATTCGGTGATCGCTAGATTGACCAGAGAGTCTAACGAGTTTCACAATATTATTGATTTCTACAGTGTAAATAAACAAATAAATTTTATGTTATAATTCTCACTAATTAAATAATTGCCTTTTGCTTTTGTTTGATTTTAGCCAATGGATCTCATGAGATTTGAAAAATGCTGTTACTAATTTCAATAAACTTTATTTTTTCTAGATAGCAATAGTTATTTAGAAGATGCCCAATAATTTATTCCTCCTACCAAGTTTTCGTTAATAGTGATTAATGGTTTCACGCAATATAACCTAGAACACTTCAGATCCTAACTTACTTGAACTTTACAACGTTGTTTCGATACTGTGGTGTTGCAAAGATTAATTACTGCTGACATGACATTTTCTTTGTATCAAATCTTAATTGATCATTCATATTGTGTTCAATTTCCAAATTCATTATCAATAAAAGTTATCAATATTTATATGCAATATGTGAGAAAGGGAGCTTATGACCAAAAAATCGATTTTTGGATTTTGACAATTTCTTACATTTCAAGGTCTTAAAAATGTAATGCAATTATATTTTTAGGACAGAAAAATTTTTGCTTGTAAGTCCCCTTTTCTTAAAGGCGGTCACATTTTTGATATTACTAGTTTACTTGGATCTTTTTTAACAATGTTCAGACAAAAAATTAATTTCTCAATGAATAAAAAGGGGGGATTTTTTAGTAAATCATATTTTCTTGTTCGTTTCTAGTAGAGGAATTGAAATAGAAATAGTTTTCCCCTAATACAACTAGAGAGTTAAAATATTTCATTCTTTTTTATTAGGAGTCATTAATTTCTGTATTCTTAATAAACTAATATTTTCTTAGGCTTTGTTACTAAAATAGTAATGGACTATTGTTGATTAAGGAATTGTATTTTTCTAATAAATAACAAATTTATTTTAATGTCGATAATTCTTCTACATTTCTTCTATCATAAGATGGATTCATTAATTTCTTATAATGATATTTAGTAGATGTAATTTATCAAATATAATTAGGACTTTTATTTTAATCGTATAATTTATACAAAAGCTCCCAAATCATATAACGTGTATATATATACACTTATATTATTAACAATTCTGAAAGAAAATAAAATAATGATTTATAAAATGTATTTAAAATTATGTTACATACTTTAAAAATAATTATGTATAGTTTATTTAATTTAAAATTTATTTTAAATCTGAATAATTCATTTATTAATATAATCTATACAAAGCTTAGAATATATTTTCCCTAACATTCCTCTATTTAATTATATGGTAAAATTAAATTGACGTTATTCGGATGAGCATGCGATCATTGAAATATTTAACATAATAATCAATATTTTATTAATTATAGTTCAAACAATTCATTAGAATGAAAGTTATTGTCTAATGAGAATTAAAATTGATATTTTAAAAAACACATTTTATGAATCAAACAGTGAGATTGATTTTACCGAAACGTCGCTTCTCTTTTTTATTTTCTGACAACAATAAAATTAAGTCATAAAACTCTTATGTTATTTTATTCTCTTCAAGGATCGAATCTTCTTCTTCTTTTAAATATATGTTATTTATTGAAATTATTGTTAACTATAATTATTAATTAATCAAGGGAACGTAGTAATTTTTCCATTATAAAAATGTACTTCATAGAATGCACAACTGGTTCTAATTAATTGAACGTTATCGATCACAATACACTATTCCTGATTTTAGTTTCGTCAATAAACTCAATAATTATCCTAGACTATTAAAAGCTATTAAACCTTCCTCTACGTTGCGATTTTCTCTACTCTCTAGGAACAGCTATTCTCTCGAGTTTCAGTCGAAATTCCTAAGTGCTGACATATAATGCCCAGCCTTCGTAAGTCTGCAATTTGTATATAATATCTACATTAAGTAAATTAAATTGTATTAAATAATTAAAAATAAAAGAAATTGTAAAATTATATGGAACATTTATTTTTATGATTTTATTTTTCAACTTTTTCACCGATACCTTTTTTTAAATTAATTCTTAAATGTACTTTTCTCAAAGGTTTATTTTTGTTAAATAAAATCTTATTCTCTCGTAAAGAAAATATTGAAACTCAATATTTAACATTCATTTACAAAGTAAATTGCATACTTAAAAGCTCCAGTTCAAAGCTAATAACTAGAAATATAACTTCAAAGCTGATACAGAATATTTATTAATTAATAAATAGTAAATATAATTTTTACTTGATCTATTATTAATTAAATATTACATAAAAAATATATTTATTAAATCGACATTGGGAATAATAAATTAAATTCTATCAAAAAGAAATACTGGAAAGTTGTAATGAGTAATATTTAAAATCGTTATCAAAGAAAATGAAAAGATTTTGAATATTTCAGAAGGACTTTAATAATTTAAAAAGGCATGAATTTATTATTGTTTTGTGTCAAAAGTTAATGAATTATGAATTCAAAAAGAATACTTGATATTATATATAAATTTCATAAAATCATCTAAAAAACATCATTTAAAAGACGAATAATGTCTGAATATAAGGAAATTTCCACTTCATCAGAGTTACTTAATTGTTCTCGCTTTCTGTTTAAAAGTGGTAATGAGTTTTAGTATCAGAGTTTTAACAAAACGATTAGAAGAACCTTGTTCACTAAAAAAAGAAGGTTGTCGTGTTAAAGAAATCTTTTGATGAGAAAAGTCTTAATGATAGGTGCAGAAATTTGAATTACACGCAAAAAGAAGTTGCGATCAAAATTTGCTTTATTTACAATATAATCTTATTCATAAACAGGACAAAAAGCATTTCAAAATAAATTATAATAATTTAATGAAACTCATGGAAATTTTATCTCCATAATAACGAAACTATATTTCCCTTCATAAATTATTTATGTTGAATTATAATTTAATAAAAATGCTTAATTAAAAGGTAAATTGCATCAAATTTACTGTTGTATGTTTAATAAATAAATATTGACATATAATTAGAGACATTTAATGATAATTTCCTGTTCACAGTATGTGACTGTTAGATTCTCAATGGTAATTTTTTCGACCACTTTTTTTTTCAAATATTTAATAAATTGAGCTGAAATTTTGTAAGAAAGTCTAAAATATAATAAAGAAGGGCAGTGATGTGCAAAGGTTTTAACAAATCAAAAATAAATGAAAATAAAACACTTTGAAATCGGTAAAGACGAAAAATTGATTAGAAGTGGCCGTGACAACTAATCATTTTAAAGTGATTTGTAATAGTTAATTTTGAAAATATTAAAACTTTTGCACATCACTGTCCTTATTTATTGTATTTTAGACTTTCGTACAAAATTTCAGCTCAATTTATTAAATATTTAAAGAGAAAAGTGATCGAAAAAATTACCATTGAGAACCTAACAATCACATGCTGTTAAGTTTAAATATATTTTGTGAGAGTGTAAATAGACAAGTTTCTTATAGATTTTTATAATACACAAATTTTTCACATCATAAATAATAAGTTAATGAAGATTTTGAATATATTACAAAATTTTATTTAACATGTCTAATAAGCTTATCTAATGTCGAAATTCTTTCACGGTAAAAAAGTGACCTGTTTTAAATATCAAATTAAAAATTTATTAAATGGAGATATTTCATAAGAATTTAATTATTTTGCTAATAATGTAAAAAGTGCATTAATTATGAAAAATACTAAAAAAACAGACAATGATATTATCGCCACTAACTTTTAAATCAATTATTAACTCATTAGAAATATTGGATTGCAATAATTTATTTAATTTCTTTTTATCATATATCCCTAGTTTCCTCTTTTTAAATTAGTTTCAAAAATGAATCTTATTTGGGATGAAGATAAGTGAATGAGCCTCCCACGTAAAAAAATGTTGGTTACCTCAAAGCTACCTCAAGCCTCGCTTAAGGCTCAAGGCTCACTTAAGGCTTAAGACTTGTTTGTAGCTAAAAACTCGTCCAAATTGAAGACATAAGCCTCGATTAAGGCTCACTTTAGGCTCAAGACTTGTTTGAAGCTAAAAATGTGTCTATGACATAAGATTGTCATATGACGTTTAAAACTAAATTAAGGATCATTGCTTAGCTTAAGCTCAAGATTTGTTTGAAGCTAAAAGGTAGTCTAAAAATTAAGACTGAACTCAGACATAAGGCTCGCTTAAGGCTCAATACTTGTTTGAAGCTAAAAATGCGTCTATGACATAAGATTGGCCTGAGACATTTAATGCTTATTTTAGGCTCAAGGCACACTGATGGGTCAAGACTTGATTCAAGCTAAAAAGTCGTTAATGCTTTAAAGCTTACCTAAATCTCAAGAAATGGTTTAGAACAATGGTCATAAGTAAAGTTAAATCTTCAGACAAGCCTTGAGCGAGTTTAACATCTTAGACCAATCTAAAATCTTGGAGGAGCTTTCAGGTTGAAACAGCTCTTTAGCCTTAAGCGAGTCTTAAGCCTTAAACGAATGTTTAATTTCATACGAGTTTATAGCTTCAAAAAAGGTTCAGCAAGAAGCAAGCCTTAAGCAAGCCTTAAGTTCAGTCCTAAATTTTAGACGAGTTTTCAGCTCCAAACAAGTTTTGAGCCTTAGTCGAGCCTTATGTCTTAAGTATTAGACTAATTTCTAGCTTCAAAAAATATTCAGCCTTAAGTGAGCCTTAAGCGAGCATCATCTTTTAGTTCAGTCTTAAATCTTAGATGAGTTTTTAGCTTCAAATAAGTCTTAAACTTTAAATGAGCCTTGAACCTTAAGGTGTCCTTATGTCTAAGTTCTGTCCTTTGTTTTAACCCCTTAACTGTTTGAGGAAAATACAAGATGATTGTCCCAAAATGCCCAGCGGAATCTGATACTTTTTCAAATAGTATAATATATTTAAATTATAACTAATTATTCAATTATTTTCTAAAATATCATTAATGACCCTTATAATTTCTTATAATATGACGCTAGTATTGATATAAAGAAAAATATCTATCAATTTATATACAAATTATATTTATTTTTAGTGACAGTGAACACGACCCACGGGTGGGTCGGAAACAGTTATGGCCATACTTTTTCACGACCCACCCGTGGGTCGGAAACAGGCAACGGGTTAAACGAGTGTGTAGCTTCAAGTAAGTCTTGAGCCTTTAGTGAGCCTTGAGTCTTAAGCAAGCCTTATGTCTAAGTTCAGTCCTAAGTTTTAGACAATTTTATAGCAGCAAATAAGACTTGAGCCTTAACTGAGCTTTGAGCGAGCCTTATATCTAAGTTCAGTCTTAAGTATTAGACGAGTTTTTAGCTTCAAACAAGTCTTGAGTCTTAAGTGAGCTTTGAGTATGAGCCTTATGTCTAAGTTCAGTCTTAATACAATATGAGTTATGTTGAAAATTAAAAATCTTACTTTTGAAAGAATAACGATTATACTGGTGTTCGGAAATGCTAGACGTTATTTTGTAAACGTTGTCAATTGTGTTTGTTCTCTATTAAGTTTTCTAATAATTGTTTATAATATTGTACTCTTGGGGATTTTCTTCCTGTGATGGGCTTCGAACAAATTTCGATACTTTCGAAATAAAATATACTTGTTAAGAATTATATTCTCAAAATATTTACTATAACTTGAATTTATTTCCAAATTAGAAGTTTCATATGTATCGACAGCACAGCTGTCCTAATACAGAAACCTGCTCAACCTGAAAAATATTTTCGAAATTAATTAATAATTTCAAAATTATCAAATTTTGAATTTTAAGCTGTGCTGTCGATACATATGAAACTCAAGAGCTTATTAAAGAGATTTATTTGTGAGATTGATTCGAAAACATTGTTAACTTCTTTCACCTTTAATATAAATTACCGAATGATAAATTCATTTCCATTAATCATAATTAAATTAATTGATAAACCTTTTCAAGTTTCAGTAAGATGTCCGTAAAATTCCTTTGTAAATACCTATAAGCCATTGTCTTTACACTAAGCGCTTGATAATCGGAATAAATAAAATATTTACTCGAAACATTTTTTAAGTACTCTTCATTCATTTTGCAAGGTTAACTTCTCCAACAAAGTAGAGTCTGACTGATACTATCATAGCAAATTAATTATTTTTTTTAAGATGAATAACAACTTGTATGAGTTAGTTTTTTAATTAATAGATGATGTCTTTGGATATCACAAAGTTTATTATTTGATTGAAATAATCAGAGTCAACATGATAACTGTAATTGTATAATATGTACAACTGTTGGGTAATAATTTAAAGTCCATCATAATTGATTATTTGTGATGTTGTCTCATTAGTGAGATTAATGGAATTGTAGCTTATGTAAGTGCGTTCATGGAAATATGATTTACCGTTGCAGTGGCAAGCATCGAAGGACCAGAACTGGAAATAACACGTGTCACTCGTCTACATATGGGACCGTATCTTTGTATTGCTTCGAATGGAGTGCCACCAACAGTCAGCAAGCGAATTGTTCTCATTGTTCACTGTAGGTATAATCCACAAAGTACCATCCTCCCCCTTTTATTTCATCTTCCCCACAGTCACAAGTATCACACTGTTTCATTATGTAACATATATAGTCATATATATGTTATGAAATACTGTGAAATATAATATGTATGTATATATATTATAAAAGCACGCATGCTCGAAAATGTAATTTCTCTGCTAGAGACTCATCTCGACTAGCTGGAATGCAAACGCACATTGCTTTCTCGCGTGAATGAATTATACCTAAAGTAGCATTGTTTTCGAAAATAATGGGATTTAAACTTTTCAGACTAGTTGTAAAGTTTCACTATGCGAGCCATTCACATTTTCAGCACGAGTAGAGAATATGACATTAGCGTCGAAAACCCCCTTGATAATCTCAAAATTCTCAAGCGGCACGAGAAACAATTATTTTCCTTTATAAATTTATGTTTTGTTTAAGATAATCCAAAACATTCTCCATCTTAAGGCATTGTCTGTATAAAGTTTTCTTAAATCCTAATAGACTTGAAAGATTTAAATACATTTTTATTCTATATATTTTAATTCATTTCACTTCTTTTTAACCCTTTCGTGCTCCCGAGAAAGCCAAAGATTTGATTTTATTGAATCTTGTTACTCAGGGGTTTTTGAGGTCACTGATTACGAATCTAAAGTAAGATTTTCAAAATTTTGAAAATTCAAAAATCCAATATGGCGAACATTTTTTCAAAGTTGCTCAAATTTTCATAAGACTTGTTACTCAGGAGTTTTTGGACAGGATTTGTTTTTTCGCTGATTACGAATCTGAAGTCAGATTTAAAAAATTCAAAACGGTGACCCCGAAAACCCCTAAGTAAGAAGTTTTACGCGAATTTAAGGAAATTTTTAAAAATTAGATTTCGATATTTTCTTCTAAATATTTTACCTATTATTTATAATAATTATTATAATTTCGACTTTATTTTGAGAAAAAGACAATTTACTCTTTAATTTTGAATATATTTTCATTTAAAGATTGGGGCTTTAATTAAAAATACGTTTTTATAAATTATTAAATTTTATTATGTCAAACGTTGCTGATATTTAAATAAATGATTTAAATAATAAAAATAATAAAAGGAAGAAAATTTCCAATATTTGTTTCAGGCAAAGTTTATTAAATCACCTGTGTTGAACTGTCTTAAAATAAATGTTACTTTTTAAAAATGCAAACGTTATTTTAAAGCATTTAAATTATAAATTATATTAAGTTCGATTAAAATTTGAAATTATTTCTTATTATGTCTCTTAAAATAATTTTACTTATTAAAATGTAAATATCAAAGCTAATTAAATAATTTTCTTTCGGAATATAACAATTGTAATGTAAAGAATTATTTGAATCCAATAAATGTTTTTTAGTATCTATCATGAAAAGAAATGTAGTTGAAAATATTTTTAAAGAATTTTCTTTTTACAGTTCCTCCAATGGTTTTTATTGAAAATCAGTTAGTGGGAGCTTACGAAGGACAAACACTTATTCTCGAATGTCACAGTGAAGCTTTTCCTAAACCCATCACTTATTGGACAAAACCAACTAATGATACTCTCGTGACCGGTTAGTGATGACTTCTAATACTAAAACTTAATTTAAAAACCTACAGATGTAAAAAAAAAACCTACAGTAATTAATCAATTACTGATATCATTTTTTTAGGAAAAATTTTTTTTTATAATTTTATATTATTTCACAGATGGTAATTACAAAATTGAAACCTTCCCCTCTGGTTACGAGGTTGTGATGAAGTTAACCATTTTATCCATGCGTGCTCAAGATTTTGGATCTTTTAAATGTATTTCCACGAATTCTCTTGGCGAAACCGATGGTAAAATTAAACTATACAGTAAGTATCTTAAATGCATTCTGAAAATATTCTTCTTTCTTTTGATTATCATTTTTTTAGAGAAAAATATTGTATAATGTAAACAAATGTTTTTATTTTCAAAAATTAAAAAGTATACACAAAAAATGACTTAAAAAATAAAACGTGTTATGTCAAGAAGCAATCCTTTGTAATTTTAAGTCACGATTCTTTGTCCTGTGAAGTAAGCTCTGCTCGTTCGTTACAACGTTAATTGCCCGAGAGTTTCTAATTAGAAGCTTGTACCGGCTTATGAAAGAAAGGATGGCGCGTCTCTTTTGAAATTCCTTCAAAATTTAAAATTATTTAAATAAATGATTTTTTGCTCACTGTACTAAGGGGACGTACACATAATACGTCACGCGATTTTTGACCATTTTTAACCCCTCCCTCCCCTATTCCTACGCCACGTCACACACGTAAATTCCACTGTAAATTTTATACATTGGACATTATATATTATATTCTACACTCTAAATTATTGAATCACCCGTGTAGAAATTTCCCTACTTCGCCTTATTTGAAAAGGGGCGCTGATGAGGAATTAGTAAGGCCAACCACACTAGAAATTTCTAGATAGGTGATAATCGACTAGAATGCCCTATTTTTCAGATAGGGAAATCTAACTGGATCTATTTATGTCCCTATTAAATATTTCAATCAGGCCCTGACTAGAATGCCTCTAGTTGAATTCACACATTCTGATATTCTATTCAGGCAGTGACAAGGCGATCTAGTTAGAACCTCTCAATTTTTCCACATCATCACCTAATAGTCCAAGCGTGACGAAATTAGACAGGTCCTGACGAATTTTCCTAGTTTGCGCCTCACTTGCGAAAGGGCATTTATTCAGGGCCTTATTAAAGCCTATTTTCAATTTCTACACGGGCAGTTAAAAATAACTGATTTAGAAGCAAAAAGTCAGACGCTAAATTCAAATAGTAATATTTTTTTCTGACAATTAGTTAAAAATAACTGACGTTTCAATACAATTTTTTTTATTAATTCAATTAGTCACGTTTAACTACCTACATAGCATCGAAACTTTTCCAACAATTTATTAAAGATTTACTCGCAAGCTTCGAAATATTTAAATGCAAAGTTTAGTGAAAATTATGTAAAGATTTAAATATCCCACTTCAATAAATGTTTAGCGCGAAACTTTCCTGAAAATTTAAGTTAAATTTTCAGGAAAATTTTCACGAAAGTATAATAGTCGAAAATGTGATTCAAATGTTCAGGAAAGTTTTAAGCTATATTTTTAACCCATTGACTGTCGCTGACGCATATATGCGCAAAACTAAACTGGCCAAAAGTGGTTCATGACACATATATGCGCAACTTAGAGAAGGTGATTAAAAACTTCTTAACCCGTCAGCACTATCGCTTTTTTAGTGTCTCACTCGCACTCCAAGAGTTCCCTATAGGTTGAGTAGTGTTGCGTGAGACTTTTTCTCTATGCGCGAGTGCTGACGGGTTAAATGTTCCTGAAACCGTTTGCTCGGGGGTTTTCGAGGTCGCTGATTACGAATATGACATTAGTTTTCCAAAGTTCAAAATGGCGGATCCAATATGGCGGACGACAAAAATAAAAAATTAATTATAATGGCTTGAAACTGAATACTCGGGGGTTTTTAGGGTCGCTGATTACGAATCTGTTATTATTTTTTCAGGTTATTTATAGAAATTTTATTTCACCAAAAATTATCATACTGATGTCAGATTAACCAGTTTCAAACAAATTCAATAAATTTTAAAAAATTTTCCGCTATATTGAACCAGATATTTTGAATTTTGAAAAACTGATTTCAGATTCGTAATCAGCGACCCTGAAAATCCCCAAGTATTCAGTTTCAAGTCAATCTGATCAATTTTTTATTTCATTGTCCGCCATATTGGATCTACCATTTTGAATTTTGGAAAACTAATATTAGATTCGTAATCAGCGACCCTTAAAACCCCCGAGTAACAAGTTTCAAGCAAATTCGACGAATTTTGAAAAAATTTCCGCCATCTTGGATCCGCCATTTTGAATTTCGAAAAACTGATGTCAGATTCGTAATCAGCGATCCCACAAACCTTAGGGTACCAAGTTTCATAAAAATCCATTAAAAATTTTTTCAAGACACTTTTGGCCCAAACAGTGGAAATCTCGTTGACAGCCAAAGGGTTAAGAAAATTTGACGATAAACATTTATTGGAGTGAGAAATTTATATCTTTACAAAATTTTAAAATAAATTTTGCAAGTAAATTTTTCGAAGTATGCAAGCAAATCTTTAATATACATATTTAGAAAAGTTTCAGTGTTTTGTGGATAATTTTTCAGTTATTTTTAACTGATTCAGAAGCAAAAAGTCAGTCACTGCTGATTGTCAGTTAAAACCATGATTTTTAACTGATTCAAATTAAGAGAATATATTATTTATCATATTATAAATAATATACCAATAGATGTTAAACAGGTACGTGATACACGGAGAGAGAAATATATTAAATTTTGTAAAAATATTTTCAAATTGGGGAAAAAGTGCAACAAAGCGAAATTTTGATATAGAAAATACTAAACTTTAAAAAAAGTTTTGTGAAATTTATTAAAGTTATATTAGAATTTAATTAATATTCTTGATATTTGATATAATTATACTAAATTTCACATAAGTTTTTTTAAAGTTTAGTATTTTTTATATCAAAATTTCGCTTTGTCGCACTTTTTCCCCAATTTGAAAATACTTTTACAAAATTTAATATATATTCTCTCTCCGTGTAGATATTAAATAGTTTAAAGCATTTTTAACTTGTTTTATTTAGAAAAAGTGACATTGTCACATATAATTTCTTATAATCTTTGAATTTAAAAGATTGTGACGTAACACATGAGTTCACCCCCCCCCCCTATGTCACACTTATAGTAGTCACAATTCTCAGACCCCCTCCCTCCCCCTAGCCGCGTGACGTATTATGTGTACGGCCCCTAAAAACATTTTTTAAAAAATTTCAAAAATTTCAAAGGACATAAATACAATACAAAAAAAAATTGCATATTAAAACAAAAGAGTAAATAATGTTCAATATTTTTTTAATTAAAAGTTTTCTATTTTAGTTTAATCGACAATTTTATAATTTTAGTAACAAGTTATATTTAGAGAAAATCTTTCTACACTGTACAAATTAAAAGAGGACAAAATGTGCTTTAAAATGAATATGATATTTAAATAAATGTTTAAATGTACAAAATTTAATTGACAGGAATTAAAATAAGTACATTAAAGATTATAAAACATTTATATTATCGAGTCATGAAATTATCGTTTTGGTGTATTTTAATTTATTCGCACACTTAATAATCCTGCCTCGTCACATTATACCGCAGCGTGTGAATGACACTAACGTTTAAGCTTGGCCAAACTGTCAGAATGACATTCCAATTTGTCATTTTCAAACTCTGTATATGGCAGAAAGTCCATTCGTTCGACTGATTGTTTTCCCCAGGTGCTTGTAACATGAGCTATTATTAAGGATACCTGTTCATTAACTTGACAGTTGAAAATCCTTTTTTAATATCTCTCCCATCGCGAGTGAGTACTGTTATTTTTGATTTCAAACTTAACAAGTTATTTCTCGAGAAACAGAGATATTATGAAAAAGCAGAAGCTTAAAATGTTTGTCCGAATGCGTGAAAATCACAAAAATAATTGATTTCATATTGGGTAAGTCCGGGGGAGATGGACAATTCAAATATTTTACAGAATTTGTAAAAAAATATCACTTATTATTGGTTATTCTTCAATCTTTTGTGACTAATACACAGTAAAAAGAAAATCTTATTTTAAGGCACAAAAGCTGCCTTAAATTAAGATGCAACATTTTTAAGACAGTGAATGTTGAATTTACGCACGTTTTTCGTATCCTTTAACATTATAGCAGACAGTGTTGAATTTAAGGCAGCTCTTAAATTAAGATTTACTTTTTACTGTGTAATAAATGTAAAAAATAAGTCTAAAATAATTTGAGAATTTCAGATTTCTTATTCTTATATTGTTATTTTTTAACGGAGTTTTCAATTTGAAGTTTTATTGAGTTGTGCATAACCCACGCTTCGATATAAACAAAAAATGAATGAAAAAATTATTTTATTTATTTAATATTTTGATGTTTACTTCTGTCATGTATTATTGGGTAAGATGGCCATAAGTGACTTTTATTTTAATTTTTTATGTTAATTTTAGATATTCAAGAAATATTACAAAAAAATAACTTAAAATACCTCTGATAATAAAATAATTGATCCAATTGACACCAGAGATGAAAATCTATTCGTAGGTTGTCCCGAAAGTTAAAACCAAACGATATTGATTGAAGATAGTATTCGACACTTTTGGCTAACATGAAAACTGCACTTAATAATGCATTAAAAATTGCAATAATTAATTATTGCATTAAAAATGTTCAAAATGTGACTAGAAAAAGAGGAAAGTAATGTGAATGATTAAAAATTAAGTTTAAACTAAAAGCCAAAAATTATAAGTATTAACCATCTCTCCCGCACACATGTGGCCATCTCACCCGGACATTCCGGGAGAGATGGCCAAATGCACTTTTTCAAAAATGTAAATTTTAAGATTGTTTCTATGAAAACATTTTATTTCATTTTTCGTTATTTAAAATTAAGTGTCCAATGTTTAATTATTAATAAAATTTAAGACGAAATGGTTAGAAATTAAAAGATAATAATTTTGGTGTAAATGATTCCTGAGTTGATGGTCTTTATTTCATTAGAAAAAGGTGAATTAGTACAAATTTTTTGTTGATTTATTCAAATTTTCAAATATGGGTCAAATTTTCTCGAAAAAAAATTAAAGTTGGTCATGGGTCTTTCAATTTTTGTAGAACTTTGTATAAAGGTAGTGTTTTATGACGCAGAAGATTTTAGGAAAAAAAGATTTTAAAAAATGTTTTAAATTGTGGATTTTACCGGGCATTAAACATTAAAGTAAATTTTTTTTGAAAAACGAATAACTTTGATCCATTTAGTTAAATTTTGTTAATATTTTAGGTAATAATAGTTGATTATCTAACAAATTAATTTATTTAAACAATTATTAAATATCTACACAACACCCTTTATTTTTATATTTAATTATTTTCTGTGTAAAATGTTGAGAAGTGTAAAAAAAATTGGAATTTTCATGATTAATGTTAAAAAAATTTATAATTAACAATAAAAAATTGTTTAAACAATTTACTAATTTATGAAATTAATACTGAATGTTTATTTACGTTAATGACCCTTTAAATTTCGGGTAAAAAACTAAAAGAAATATACTCCAAATTGATTTTTTGCAATTATGTTCTTTTTTACAAAAGTTAATTAATTAATGTATTGTTTATTTAATAAAAGTGAAATTATATAAAATTTTTTATTTCAGGAATACTAAAATATGATTTCTAATGTACTTATAAATTTTTTGAATGTTAAAAACTTTATTTTATAGCAACATATCGACTTTTTCATACTTTGTTGTAAACAATTAAGTATAAATAAACAAAAATTAAAAAATCAGCATCGAGAAATCGATAGAGAATTTAGTAACGAAGAATTACAAAAAATTTTTGTTTAATTTGAATGATAATTATGACCTCTAGACTGATTTTGACACAAAAAGTACATTTGGCACCTTCTGTGTGACGCTTTCATTTAAGGGACTCGCGTCCTCTATTTTTATATCAATGTGTTGCTTCTACTTAACAGATTAACCACATTTTTATCTCGAAACTGTGATAACTATTTAAGAAACCTTTTCTACTGGTTGGAAATTATATTTTTTACAATATATAAACAAATACCTTAAATAATATAACTTTCTATTGATCAAGACACAAGGAATTCTCCCTTAATTGACAAAGTAAATAATTACAACTCAATTACCATTTTGATTCCATGCAATTCAACAATAATAAATGTTGAGTTCGGGACCGTCTACCGTATCAGTAATATTCGTTAGTTATAAATTTATATTTCAATAATTAATACACAAATTAAATTAATGAATTCCAATGAAACTTTAATTGAGCATTTATAACGAGATTATTTAAAATCAACGCTACAATAAATTATAATTGTAAAAATATTCCAATTGTGACATAAAAATAAAGTTTGTCAATAAAAAATATTTTATTGTTTTCAGAAATAGCGAAACCTGCAACTAGACGACCAAATTCAAGAAGAGATTCGAAGAAATCGTGGAAAGTGGATTACGGTCATGAAAAGCATTCGGCGGGAATAAAGGATTTAGCAGCATTAACCGAAGAAGATACCAGTGAGGAGACGAATGACTTCCCATCAGCGACTGCCTCATCCAATTACTTCAATCTTGCAAAATCAACAATCGCCGCAATTATGCTTTTAAGATTGTCGTCGTAGACACGATATCTTGAAATTTTGTTTAAAAAAAGAATCTTTCACGATTGCCATGAAATTAATTTAGTTATTTGTATCATTCCGCATTGAATTCATGGATGAAATGATTCTAACGAATCTAGGATTTTAAGTTAATTTCATCGATACTTTATCCTTGAAGATAACTTCAATTATTTGAATTCTCTTGAAAACTTTCGTACACTATCCGAAAGATACATCAAAAAGAGCTTATAGTTAGTGAATCTCCACTTTAGAAACTTTTGTTCAATTTAATTTTAAGTGGAAACTTGTAAAATAAGTTTTAACGATATTTGATGATTTGAAAATTGATATTTTCGTCACGGAATTGATGGTAACAATTGTTAGAAAACTTAAAAGCATTCTTTTCTACTACATAGAAACTTTGTTAAAAAAAATAAATTCACAAATGTTTTATTGTAAAAAAGAAAATAAATAAAAAAAAACGCGATCCATCAATTTTGGTTCATACTTAAGAAAATATCAAATCGCTTTCATTTGAAATTCGCCAATCTTCTGATATATTTAGAGAATCGTTTTCTACTGACACATTTGTCTTCCACGTCACGTGTTGCATTTCAGCAAAATGTTCGAACATTGCGTTCTCTTATGCTTTCAATTTTTCAACGGCAATTCGTCTCTCCACTGTCTCTTTAGAAATATCTTGAAAGAACAAGACAGAAATGAAAAAGGCAGGAAAATTCGTTCTAAAATATCGTGTTGTAAAATGATTGAGGGAAACGTTTTAGGAATGATTTCTATTTTACTTATAACAAAATAAATGTAACGTAAAGAAGAATGAGAGGAAATATTTTTCGATTGATGGGCAAAAAAATATTTATGAAATATATTTTGGGGGGTATGTGAATGAACAAATGTAATTTGAATTAAGAAGATGGTTTTCATTTACATTTAGTTGAAATGTTGACAAATTGTTTACTTTGTAAGTAAGTTAAGATTTGACTTTATAATTTTCAATGTGAAAATGTTATTAAGTTTATCAATAATGTAAATATTTAAATGCCTGATGTGTTGAAATTGAAATATTATTGTAATTGTACATAGAGCAGTAAAAATTGTATATTTCAATAGTATAAGTCTCAGGGAGGTTGTAAATACGTGTGTTATATATTAAGAACGATTCTTTGATTTTTTTAAATGTAAATACGTTGAACGATGTCAAATAGATCATAAATGTTAGTTAATTTCGATTTTTGTTGTTCATAATTCAAATCCCTATTCCTAATACATCAATATTTTATATTTACTTTTTAGATATAAAATTTTATTCCCCTTACTCTATAGAATTCTATGTTCATAGTTTTCCTTTTATTTCTTTCTCCTCTTTCGTACTATTTTTATATAACTTCCTTCTTATTCTCTAGCTTTATTATTTTATGTCATATTTATATTCTTTATTCTTATTTTTTTACTTTACTTCACTTATTTTCGTTTTTTTTAAATTCCCTTTTTGTAATTTTCTTTTTTCGTCTCAATTTTTCTTGTACACTTCTTTTCTGATATTTCAATATCTTCTTTTCATGATTTTTTTCTACATAGCACATGATATTTCTTGAATATTTTATTGAAAGATTTGAAGAATTTCAATGTGAAGTCTATGAAATGTTGGTAAAAATAGAGAAATATTCACTTGTAAAAAAATATTGCATTGAAATATTTCAAAAATTTAAAAAAAATATGCATCAATTTTTTAAAGACATTGCAGTCAAATATTTCACATCCTTAATAAAATATTCAGAAAATATATATGCTGTATGGGTTATTTGTTTTTTTATTTACTTTCCTGGTTTTAATCTTGGTTTTAATAATTATTCTATATTTACATTGTACGTTTTTTCAAAATATAAATTATAATAATATTAATTAAAAATAATTTAAATTACTAAGTATATTGTTCTTTATTATTAAATAATTCACGTGGTTAACATTAAAAAATAAAGTTTTAACGAAATCGATAAATATTTACCATTTATTTTTCATTTGAAAATTATAAATATATTTTTCACTTTTTTATTATCAAAACATGGTAATTTTTCAATTTATTTTTCTTATCTATTGATGGTTCCATTCTTCTAAAAAAATGTATACCAATTAGTTTAAATAAATGAATGTGACAGTTACATAGTATCAAAAATATGAAAATAAATAATAGTACACTTGAAATTATAAGAAAAAAAAATTTTTTTTGAAAGAAAGTGAAATTGCAAATAAACAAAAATTACCAACAACTAACAATACATTAAACCATTTTATCATAGAATGGTATACAATTTTCTTATTGAATTTTATCATCAGTATCAGAAAAATGTAAACTGAATATCTGGTACGTAAAAGGATAAAATATTACCAACAGTTGTAGCATTGTTCTGTTACCATCCTCTTATTGATTTTATGAGAATTCGTTCTCTAAGAGTTACAGGAATTTAGTTTCAGATGTCACCAGAAATAATGAAATAAGAATAGTTTTTAAAAATGAATCACAATGATCAGACTATACTCATTAAGGTAAAAAAGGTTTAAGGTTAAATAACAAAAATTATTTTATGATCAGCGTTATGTCAGAATGTAATTTACCATCATCATAAATTATTTCTATTTTTATAAGTAAGACTTCCGTGGAAATCTTATTTCGAAAGAGGATAAGAGTTGATAGTATTTTGAATTATATTTTTAATAATAATAATTAGAAGAAGATAGTCAGATTGACTAACTGCGAGTTTTTAAGGGCAAGGGACAGTCAGCCGCATGCAAAAATTAAAATTTTGATTAGGAAAAGAAATCCGCTGATCAGTTCGTTAACTATATCTTTAATAAGTTTTATAAATTTTTTCTAATCCATCTATTTGTTTGAGTGGTTAACGATTTTGCAAACATAGTTTCGAGAAAAGCACATTTATTGTTTTACAATCGATTTATGTATAGAAATAATAATTTAAGGGAATAATAATATTACGTCGGTGGAAAAATATAAATAATGAAAACTACAAATCTAAGGAATAGATAACACAGGCACACAAGAAAACAAAAGTGGTCTGTTTATTGAACCAGACCTACATGTCTTAAAGTATTTTTGCCCGCTGAAAACAAATAGGAAGTCAAAATTGTTCTATCACCCTCTGTTTTTTTTTAAATCGAAAAAACTACCCTTAAATGTTTTGATTCAAAGTTTTAGCAAAAAAATGAAATAACAGATTGTTTTTGACAACTAAACAATAAATTTATGTACTTCTCTTACAACAACTCAAAAGCACCCCAGACTTTTGTTTAAATTAAAGAAAACTACCCTCAAGAGGATAAACTCACATTTGACAGGGAAAAAATAAAAAAAAAGATTAAATTTTTAAACGGAAGCAATTACGTTTTTTATATAAAAAAAACTACTCTTAAAAGGTAGAACTCAGGGTTTACAAGAAAAAAATGAATTTTTTAAACAGAAGCATACGTTTCTGTACTTTTGTTCTCACAACTAAAAAACAGAGACAGAATTAAATCACCACCCTCTAATTTTTCTTAAATCGTAAAAACTATACCCTTATATAAATAAACTTAGACTTTAAAGGAAAAAAAAAATTTAAATGAGTTTTTTAAAAGAACCATTAGAAACCATGTATTTCTGTATCTTATTTTCAAATGAGCGGTGCGTAATGGATTTCATTTTCTTTTATTTGTTTCCCTTTTTTAAAACAAAGTGAAGTTAGAAAATTTTTTTAAATTTCCGCCTGAAAAATCTGAATTTTATCATTTTAAGGGTGGTTTTTTCAAATTTTAACTGAAACTAATAGTGACGTTTTAATTCTGACGCTGATTTTGAGTTTTTAAAGGAAAAATACAGAAATGTATGCTTCCTTTAAAAAATTAATCTTTTTTCTCATTTTCTTCATGTTAAGGGAAGATTTTTTAATTTTAACAAAAACAAGGGGTGATGTTTTAATTTTGACATTGATTTGAGTTGTTGAAAGAGAAATATATAAATTTATTGTTTTGTTTTAAGGGGGGAAAGAGCAGTTGTAAAATCCCATTGAAATATGACTATTATTAGGTACCATTTTCTCAGCTCCAAATGATTACTTTTCATCAAACTTTTTTTCTGATGATTTTATATACAAAAGAACTAAAATCTGATCGTTCGATGAAGCCAAATTTTTATTTCTAAATTTTCTGTGCCATTTTGAAAAAATTATTACTCGTTTTCTTGGTTTTTTTTGTAAATAATTAAATGATTTTAAATAAACTAATTTATTTGTAAAACCGAACGACCAGATTACAGTTTATTAATGTTCAAGTATTTTAAAAAAAGGAGAACCATATCCGTCAAGTTGTTTTCGAGAAAATGGTACCTAAATGTTTTTTACTTTATGTTTTTTACTTTAAAGTTTGGATTTGCATATTTAAAGGTGGTTTTTTCCATTTAAAAAAAGAAAGGGTGGTGGAGCAATTCTAACATTGTTTCTGAGTTATTGTAAGAGAAGTGCATAAGTTTATTATTCTGTTTTGCAACACAATCTGCTATTTTATTGTTTAACTTTAAACTTTGAATTTGCGCATTTAAGGCCAGTTTTTCGATTTAAAAAAAGAGGGTGATGTTTTAATTCTTACATTGTTTCTGAGTTGTTGTAACAGAAGTACATAAATTTATTGTTCTGTTTTCTAACACAATCTGTTATTTAATTTTTTTACTGTAAACTTTGAATTTGTACATTTAAGGGTAGTTTTTCGATTTAAAAAAAGAGGGTGATGTTTTAATTCTGACTTGTTGTAAGAGAAGTACATAAATTTATTGTTCTGTTTTGCAACACAATCTGTTATTTAATTTTTTTACCTTAAACTTTGAATTTTTACATTTAAGGGTAGTTTTTTCGATTTAAAAAAAAACAGAAGGTGATGGAGCAATTCTGACATCCTATTTGTTTTCAGCGGTCAAAAATACTATAAGACATGTAGGTCTGGTTTAATAAACAGAACACTTTTATTTTTTTGTGTGCCTGTGTAACTTATGGTGAGCGAGAATTATGATATTAAAAGAAATAATTAATAATGTAATGTCAAATATATGTCCAATGCGTCATTAATGAGGTGATAATTAAACCTTCGTAAGAAAGTTATTTTGTAACAAATAAAAAATAACGAAATAAAATAAATAAATTTGTATAGGAAATTATTAAACATTTAAAAATTAAAGTTTAAGTCAAAGTTACAATATTTTTGAAAAAATAGAATGTTTTGATGTTAAATTAAAATTAAGGTATAATAAGAATAAATTTTTTATTATAATTATTATAATTTTATATACAATGTCTTATATACGTTAGTAAAATTACAGTAGAGTATTTAAATTCTATTTTGTACATCAAGTGCCAGCATGAGTATTCCATCTTAGTGGTGAAATATTAGTTTTGTTTGTCGCTCCACGTGGATGTTGAGTGGCGTACAGCTTAAAACTCCAAAAATAATAAATTTAAACTTGATTCATTAGTGGAAAATTATTAGTTACTTACCTATGATATTATGTCAGCCCATATTATAATCTGTAATTTCTCTGTATTCATTCATTTTTTTATTCTGCATTCGTATTTTGTAATATAAAAAATATAAAAGCTACGGAGTCAATGCATACGTTAAAATTGCTTAATTATATTTTGTAACGTTTTCGATTTTCATACATAGGATGACCCAAACCATATTTTCTACATTTTTAATTTCTCATAACTTTTTGACTAATTAATTTCCTGTGTTGTGAAAAAATAATTTATCTTTATAATCTAGTTTAACCATATTCTTCAGTTTAAAAAATTCATTTTTAGACAAAAATAAAACGAAAAAGTCAAAAAGTTATTGGAAAAAAGGAGTCCTAAAAACGTTTTTTAGACATAAGAGCCGCGTAGATGTCCACAAGTCACCAAGTGTTTTAATTCTTACTAAATAGTTATTTACATACTTGTGATTACTCTATGTAGTTTCGTATATTACAAAAATATTTCAGTACTTTCAGATTGAATTTGTTTATTTTTAATTAATAAATTAGTTTTCTATTATTAAATTAACTTTAGGAAAAGAAAAATAGAAAAAACATTATTTTAAAAGTATTTTTTATTTTCTACCTCATTTTTTTGCAGCATCATCCCGTCATACAAAAAATACGTCGGAGCAGTTAATCTTAGTTTCGAATCGATCGATAACATAGTGA